GCTATAATTATTTCTTTTTAAATACCCGGGTACTTAGGCTTTTGATAGTTAAAGAGACTAGCTGTAATAAATAGATTTGAAAGCTTTGATGTTAAGAGGTTAAAAGTATTAAAAAGCTGTACAGGTCCCCGCTCACAGACTCCCTTTGAAAATTCAGATCATGACTCACGCATAGAAAAACATTGAAAGGCTGGGAAAAAGGTTTCTAAAAAAATAAATATTTGTAAAATGCAAATGATAATTCATGTTGACAATGAAGAATTGAACTCAATATGAAAACTGCAAATTATTAACTGAAAAGGTCTAGGCTGATACTTTAGCTAGGGTGTCAGTTTGAGCATAAATGTGTTTAATAAATGAAAATCCAGCAGTCAAGTTTATTTTTCTAGCCATTGCCCTGATTTTAATTTAGTGTTAAAAGAAGTTTTCTTCCAGGTTGCAGGTCTCTACAGAGACGCCAGTATTGGGAATGCAATCAACATCGTGGTTGTTCGACTCATCCTGCTGGAGAAGGACGAGGTAAAAACAGATTTCTGTATGTTAATGAAGGGTGGTTTTATTAGTTTCCATATAAAGAGTCAAATCCAAAATTCCTGACCACAGAAATTCTTCAATAGTTTGGCGTCCTGAAAGTTAGTTTTAGCAGTTTTGTTTTCTTATTTTTTTCAAGTGTGGGTCAGAATGACCTGTTTTACCTACTCTCCGGGTTTCTTTCCATTTAATGAATGAAATCCCATTCAGAATGACTGAAAACTACTAAACATTACTTGCTTTTAGGTTCTTGGGTGCAGTCAATACTTGCAACTTGTAACTATGCAATAAATAAATGAAAATGGTTTTCTTAGTCATTCTGATTGCTGTACTGTATGTACAAACCGATTGTAAGCAGTAAAATGTACAGAAATGTTTTGCTGACAGCTGTTAGAATTACAAAACTCACTCTTAGTAATAGCCGAGATATACAACACACTGACAAGGACGCTATCACCTTATCTTCATCAAGTCATGGTGCAAAAAGAGCCAAACGGGACAGGTTAAAAAAAAAAAAAAAAAAAAAAAAAAGTCATGGTGCAATTTGGTTTTCCATTTCATTTTCCATTTCAGTTTATAGCCATATTTATCTCTGTGCTGTGCACTTATTCCGGGCAATTTTGTGTACTTAGTGTGCATTAGCTGCTAATGATTGATTTGTCTGCTGTTATGTTTTCTTCTCTTCATCTGATTGTGACATGTGGCCGATAGGATGACTTGAAGATTACACACCACGCTGACAACAGCTTAAACAGCTTCTGTAAGTGGCAAAAGAAACTCAACATGAAAGGGGACGAGCACCCGCTCCACCACGATGTCGCTGTTCTGCTCACCAGGTACCACATACACCCGACTCACTGCTTTCCTTCGTAGTACATTTATCTTTTTACTGTTTGAGCCCAAAGCCCAGCTATGCGTGTAATGTGAATATTGGTGTGCAAGTGGCAATCATAAAGTTTCCTGTTTAAATTAGTCTGTTAAGCCCTGTGGCAACGTGAGATCACACAATGGTGACTAAACCTATGGCTCACTGATTAGAATATTACTAAATTTATATACTTGCACTTTTGCAAAGCGAGTGTCTGTGGCGACCCTTACAGCTAATGCAAGGTGAATATCAAAAATGAACCAAAGAGTACCACAGTCATTTCTGCATTATTCAACAGGGCATCAATTTGTGATATTGCAGGACGTAATGGAACAAGAGGACGCAGCCTCAGCTTTTACATGAAAAGTAGCCGGGGAGAACCGCTTTTACGCAGCCCTGCAGTTTATGGGCTGTGCAGCTTGAAATCAGATCATGTTTTTTTTCTCAAGACAATGACAAAAGGCCAACTAATGCTTGATTTTGTTATTAAAACTAAAATTATTTAGTTCCCTTTAGAATTCAATGTTAATAACATTCAACCAAGATTGAAACGTCTGTGATATGACTGAGATTTTGTTTGCACGACCTTTCTCTACTGTCACAGTTCAGAAGTAATAGTTTGACTTTTTGGAAAAGACACTTGTACAGTATTGTACAAAAGTACTGTGCCCACACATTTTTTGTAGTTTGCCTCCAAGCAGTACCTAACCAATTTCAGAGGAATGTTTTTTGTCAGTTAAGCCGCTTGATAATGACCTATGACGCACTTAACTCAAGGGATGAACCAGCGTTGTGGTCACACAACTTAGCAAAGAGCCAATTTTAAATTGTATCTTTAGGCACTAATTTAATAACAACCTGCCAAAAAACAAATTGTTTGTTTCAATTTCTTTACTC